TGTCTGTCAACCATATGTTGTTGCGCCCATAGTGGGACATGGGTGTTAAGGTTTTCTTCAAATTTTAAATAGCAAATCTTTATTCAAACGAATTTCCTGTAGCTGTTTAACATTTCCTGCGAGCAGTACTCGCGTGCTCGCCTATTTTTCCACCCCTGCCAAAACATTTGTCAAATAAACCTGGTTTCCATTTAGTCGTGACGGGTCGCATACTCGCATTACCATACCATATCATTATCATAATTCGAATCCCCCATTCTTTAACGGTGGGGGGATAAATTGTCATGGTGGCCGATGTGATAGAGTGTCGATCAGTAAAGACTGATTTGCAAACAGCAAGCAAAAGATACATCCAGATTCCAGACTATTTCACATCGGTCATCATGCCTTGTTCCCGTCAGCCGCGACCAAATAGAAGCCAAGCTTAAAAATAGTGTTTGAGAAAGAGTCCACTCAACGTCTGATGTATGTTTTTCAGGACATGCCATTCACATGCGAAGGAATCACACCAGATGTGATCATAAATCCTCACGCTATCCCAAGTCGTATGACCATTGGTCATTTAATTGAATGTCTACAAGGAAAGGTAATTTATTCGCTTGTGAGTGTGACAAACATAATTTTGTAAAGTACCAGTTAAACGAAGATGAGAGTTGGTGAGCGTTGCAACTCTCGCTGGCGTTTGAACTCTCATCAACTGCCATCAACTCTTGTTAACTTTGAGCTGGTTCTAATTTTGGTGAGATCTCAGATTCTCAGTCGACTTTTATTCAACTCTTGTTCTCATTATATTACATTATATCTTTACAACAACTGTGATTACTTTCTTAACTATGTTTATCCTAACCCACCCTGTCAACTTTTCCTGTGGGAGGAACCCGGAGAAAACCCACGACTTTCGGCAGAGCGTTGACTGACTTTTGAATTTGAATTATATTTCTGTAGGTTTCTGCCAATAAAGGAGAAATTGGAGATGCTACACCGTTCAATGACGCTGTTAATGTGCAGAAAGTCTCGCAACTTCTCGCTGAATATGGCTATCATTTGAGAGGAAATGAGGTGAAGTGGCTGTATGTGAAGGAAGGGTGGGGAGGGAGGGGGGGG